ATCCTTAGGGAAACTCGTCTCGTCTTGCCATTAGTCGGCCGGTTGTTCGATCGTAAGTCATCGTGTAATCGGCCCGCGTCAGAACATTAGGCCCCGTCGCGCGATTCGTCACAATCCACAAGCGGGACTTTTCGTGCGCGCGCGCGCGCGCGCGTGAACGTCTCTTCGACCGGCTAGACCTCGATCGTTGGGACCGTTCGCGGTACCGCAGAGGTGCGCCAATAAGAAATGCAAACCTGTCGTTCGTAAATCGACTTTCGTCGTACGTACGTAGCTTTCCGTCGTCGTTTTCACGATCGGGCCCGTGTGAATTAATCCAACGACAGGCCGTTCGTGCGCTCGCGCTCGCGCGCCCACGTGTGTACGTGAATGATACATGCGTATTTCGGGCCGCGTATATAATAACAGGTTGCCAGTACCGGGCCCTCTCTTACCCTCTCGCGGCCTCTCAAGCGGTGATGTATGCGCTAATTGTGAGGCCCCTTCGCTTCGAGACCCAGTCTCCTCCGTTTCCTCGCCCCCTCCGCGCCGCGCCGCTCCGCACCGCTCCGCGCGCGGTGTCTTTTTCTTTCTTCATATACGTGCTTCATCGAGGATATGCCTCCTTCACGTATTCGCTCGATTTTTGCCGCAGATGGAATTTTTATTCGATATTGCGAATCTCTTTGCCGGAAATGTCTCGGGACGTTTTATAAAATCGCTTGCTGAATACAACGTTGAATTAAAGTTATTATTACGCGATAATAATAGAGTGATCGGCAATAAGCGATGCAAAATGAGTTTTCTTACATGCTCAGTATACAAAGAAATAATATAAATTAGCAGCAAGTTGGAGAATAATTGGAACAGCGGGGTTGATTCGAGTCATATCATTTTAACGTTATCGTTGTCCATTAAGGTTTAAAGCAAGAAAACTCTATCGTATCTTCATTCTTTTAATCCAGAGAAATATAACGGAACGGCGGTTAGAATATTGCAAAATTTGAAAAGAGCGAAAACCGGCTTGTGTGGTTTAATTTGATTTCAAAGAACCGGCAGATAAGACGGTTATTTCATCTCCATCTTGCCCGAAGGGTTTCGACATCTGCGACGTCGGTACATGCACGATGCATCGATTGCCCGCGGCGTGGCAATTAAGTAATTAAACAAATCTGTCGAAGGTGTTACGAATGAGTCCGTGCACGCCTCGCGATCGCTCGTAACGCACGAAGGGAGTAAAGTCGTTGCCAAAGACGTATGATCGTATTACTTGAAAGTCCCGTTAGATATTCATACGTAATTATTAACTGACTGATGATTAATTAGTAATATAAGGGATAGATGGAACATTGTATCGAGATGTTCTATACTTCAACTTTTTTACTTATGTGATAACACATCTGCATCCGTTTTACTAAACGAAAGATAGCTGGTAATGATTTTTATTAAGGTTTGTAATTTTTTCAATAAACTATTAATTAAAATTAGAAAATCGAAGTTTTTGAAAAAGGAATCGAAAATTCTCTACATAAAAAAAGAAGAATGCAAGTCTTTACTTACAATTAAATTTTGTTAAAATATTGTTTTTAGTTTTACTTAACAAATATGACAAAACTTTTGCATTAATATATTATTACGTTGTAGCTGAATAGAAATATTTTTTGTCTTAACGTTTTGATTAATTATTTAAATTAATTGGAAATTATTATCTTTATTGGAAATACGCACATGTGTGTGCGTGCGTGTGTGCGTGACGGACATATCCTGTCTTTCCTAAATTTAAAATCCAATTAAACACGAATCTCATCCGGGGGAGAAATAAATCGCATGCGTGCCGCCGTTACAATGTTGTGACTCCCGGAGCCGACAATCTCGTTGGTACGCAATCGGCCTTAGTACGAACATTAACATCCAGCCCGATCCCGGGTTTAATCAAACGCTAACCGGCGAAGATTTAATCTACCGCAGACTCCCTCGAGAGACCACCCTCCCTGTGCCTCTTTGTCTCTTCCCATCTCTCTCCTTTCCCTTTATTTCTTCTCCCATTCCTGCGTCCTGCGTATCTCATTCTCTCCTTCTCTCTGTCCCGAGTAAGTAATATAATCACAACATCGGGGTGGCGTCGTTATTTACAGGCACTCCATTTGCGGTAGCGAGCGTCAGCCAACGAGGTTGATCGTGGCGACGATATTGACTCCGGCCACGATTAGGGGATAGCTGTATATGCGCGAGTTCTCGGGGTTACACGCTCCCTAATGCGCCTCGGGGCTTAGATCTCGTTTCTAATGCGATTCGGAAGCGATATCGTCCCCGAACGCGCGACACATTGCTCTCATAAAGGAAGCAAATGGATGGGCAAATTTATGGGTGTAAAAAATCTGCGCGACGATTTCGATTTCACGACGTTGCAGCCTGGGTATACAGGTGTAATTCGGCGCGGATTAATCGAGGAATCGCGCGATCGCGTCCGGAAAAAGAGTTGTAGCCTCGTCTTCGCGGCAGAAACTTTATGTACTGCACCGGCCGGAAAGACGATGCTATCTCGATTGAGTCGTTCATCGGCCGATTTCGATCTACCGGCAGCTCTGGTTGGCCCTCGCGGCGGAGAGGACAGTACCTTTGTCGCTCCGGCGAAATCGATGGGCGACTCCATCACCGAGCTCTGCACGCCAATTAAGCAATTAAAACATCGTACGTTCTCTTGTCCATCGGCGATGGAAGGAGCTTTCACGATAACCGACGACGGCTATCTTGGACGTGCGATTCAGTCGCCACGAGGAAATTAAGAATGATTCGAATTCATTAACCACTAACGCATTACGAAAGCCAGACTGGACCTATCTGTATCGCGATGTCGCCCTTAGCGGCTAATAAATAATTCGCCTTCCCTCGTGTAATCGTGTAATAGATCGAAATATTTCTAATATATATTTTTATGACGGACAATATCTCGCCGATTAATCTTGAATGTGAATAATGAATGTTCGGATCCGCGACAACACGTAACGGTATACGCCACATAATTCAATGATTATGATGTCGCGAAGGGGAGAAGGGGAAAGGGGCAGGTGACGCTGCGACGGATGTCGCCCCGAAGCGCGAGTTTGCAGCGATTCGTCGGCACGAATCGCGGAGGCTACGGCCTTAATTCCAGTAATCTTCGCGTCAGAGCTGCTTCCGATGCCGCGGCACGGCCGCGGCGCGGGCGATGCGCGGCGAACGGCGATGCTCCGCCGCCGCCGCCGCTGGATGCTGGCGAGGTTCGATAGAAGCGGTGGAAGCCGATCTAACAAGCGAGAGCGCACCGAATAATAACACACAGAGGACCGAAGGAGAGGAGAGCGTTCCGCGGCTCGTAAGACACCCAAGTAACACGGGAAGAGACGCGGAGGGGGGAGGGGGATACAGGGAGGGCTCAACGGCCGGCCGCGGGGGGGAAGAGAGGAGGGATTCGATAATTACTACCGGGAGTCGTGGAGGCGGCCCACGGAATCCTCCTCCCGCAACGAGCGCAAACGCGCAATTATTCCCCATCGCCATCCGAGGCCGGGATCTCCGATTCCGCGTTCCCTCTGCCCCGATATAGCGTGTACACCACGCGCGCGCTTCGCGCGGATGCCCCGAAGAGGCTCCCGGTGTTCGATCGTTATGCGCGCCCCCGATATTATCTCCCTCGCTCCGTTCACTCGCTCGCTCGGTAGCTCCTCTCTCGGATTTCCCTCGCGCGCGTGCCGACGCGTGAAAAACCTGACCGCGAGGCTGGAAACCGAAGCGAGTGGTTTGCGCGCTCCGGTGAGTGGCTAAGATGAAAAGCCTTCATCGCGGTCGTACCCTTTTTCCGCTTATACGCTCTATGAAAGATTTGTCGCGTACCATTGTTTTTGCAGTTAATTAAGATCTCCTGCGCCGATTCCTCGTCTAATATCCGACTGCAATGAGCGGGTGTCTGATCCCTGTTAGATATGAATTGTAATGGCACACGCACGCACGAGAGGATGTATACGCGATGTTGCGATCGTCCGGACTCTGTCGTGACGCGGGATCGTAAAGAACGAAGCCACGGTTGCGTTACTTTATGGGATTCGCTTTATCATAATCTTTTTATTTTACAAAGCGTCCTTTCATGTTTTCCAACACCTTCCCCTCGCCGCGCCTCGCCCATCTTATTTTTCACGACGACCTCGCGTGCGTATTTTTGGCGGCGGTGCTATGTGAGAAGCTGCGCTATCCTTCTGTGTTCGCGTTGCGGAGCGCTGCGTCTTTGCTAAAGCGTCACGGACGGACGAACGTGGTCGTAATGGGCGTGGTAGTCCGGCATCAGAGGGTCGCAACGCATCGAGTTCGCGTTTATTTACGCGCGTGTATACGCGCGTGCGAGTCGACGCGTGACACGAGACACGCTTCGTCGATAATGGAGTTTGATTAGAGAATTGATTTTTAATCGTTTGTTTGCAATAACGCTCTGAGCGTATAAATATAATGCTACGGCAAATGGGTTGACTAATGTTAATGAGTCATCTTGCTGAGAGACAGATACTCCATAATACTTTTTCATATGTATATGTATATATTACTTATGTATCGTCTATGTATCGAACGAAAAAAATATTTCGGAGTAAAATATAAAATAAAAAAATAAAACATTGCAAAAATATCGAGAACTCCAAGATTCCCTGCATATATCTGTACAGATATATGAGACCTACAATTTAACTCCGATTCTGAACGGCAAGATACTGATTTCTGAAATGGCAAGATAATACTCTCGGTGGGTTTGCCAGTATACCTTCCGAGAGGTGGCGATAGAATAAAATCCAGCGACTTTGGTTGGATTTGAACTCGGATCTTCGGCTCACAAGAGTAGCGCTCAACTTTCTGCGCCACGATCGCCACGGACTTTCAATAACAAGAACACTAACAAGGATTGTGTATTTCGTAAACATCGAATACATACTTAAAAACATGCAATTTTAAACAATGACATATACTATATAAAAATTATAAATTAATTTATGACTCACTTTGATGGCCATCTCGCCGAATTTCCGTAATGTTGCATAGCTGCATAGCTGCAATCAAAAGAAGAACAGTGATTAGCATCGAATGATTTTTTATCTAAAGAGAGATTTTTTGCTACAATGAAACGATTACGATGATACGATTACACTTAAATTTGGAACAGATAAACTCGAGATTACGCTGAACAATGCTGCCTATCCGAAAAGTCTTTAGGTAATCTTACGCGAGGCGCGAGAGGATCGAGAGCCTTGTCGAACAAACATCTTGACGGGTCGTAAAGGTCTACGTTATATCACCGTGGGTCTACCTCCAGCTGAGTTAGGCACAATCCACGTTGTCGGACAATGTCTGCGCATTGTGCGTGTATCGGCATCAATCATCGACGGCATACCCACGCACAGGTGTCGCGCGACACGTCTAATGTCCGTACAAATTTTGTTGCGTCGTCGTCGATGTTGAAATATACGATTAATATATATTATACCAACGTTCACCAGTTACTTGTGCGTTACGATTATCTTGGACATTCGATAGATTGCATAGAACTACATAGAGATACGTTTTACGCAATAACAGGATAGGGTGGAGAGGACCTTTTTGTGTATGTGTGTGAGTCATGTTTTCTTTTTCTTCTTCTAGATTTTTAGATGTCTTAAAAATTTTTTATCCGGTTTTTTCTTTGGCTCAAATAGTCCCTCTTTATCCTATTATACTTGTGTTTCGCGACTAATTATAAATATATATACAATGTCAAAGGCATGAAAATCAATTATTCTAATCGTGGGTCAACTTGAAGCTCAGTAACAATGTGCTATGTAACAATAACAACTTGTACGCGTGCTTTCACCTTCTTCCCTGACCGTCTCTCTACTACATAGCTCTTTGGAGCGATAATTCATTCAATGTTAGCAAGTCTACCTGCCCGTCCGCGAGTGATATAGCACGATCTCGACGATAGTCGATCACCAGAGCGCCGCGCGCCGCGGCTAGAGACACTTCGGCTGTCGATGACGTGACAAAAACGACGCTGGCCGAAGAGCGCGCGTGTTCTCGAAATTTAAAAGAGTGTCCGACCCCCGCGGCGCGTTCAACGACGTCGACCGCTTCGCGGATGTCAGTCGTATAAGTAATGACAATACGATGACTGGACGGCCGCTAAACACCTGCATTCACCACCTTATCTCGCGGATCCCGCTGTTAGGACAGGTTTTCGCTATCGTTAGCCCTTCCTCGCGCACAGTCGGATAGTTCTCGGACGCTTTGGGTGGTCGTCCCACCGCCGATAATCTTGACGCGACTCTTGACGCCTCCCGCGCGTCGTTTTCACCATCACCACGAGCGATCCGATCGTGACTTCGCCTCCGACCGAGCATCACGCCGCGTGCACGGCTTTAAATACCTGCCACTCGATAGCGTGTGTCATTTCCGAAACTTGCCCGCGCGGGGAATACGATACGTCGCGCCCGGTAAATCCAAGATCTTTCTTTCTCGTGTGCACACGGGTCGTTTTCCAGTGGAAGGCGCCGTTTCGTGACAGTCGCAACGTCCGGCGCGGCGGAACGAGCGGTGTGGCGAACGCGAGCGTAGCTCGGAGTAAAACGAAAGGGGCACGTAGACCCGGGATTGACGTAACTTCCCGAGGCTCGTTGAATATTTATCGGCGCTCGCCTTGTTTGTACGCCGTTCTGCCTCGCTTGAATTTAAATGCCTTTCGTACCTCCGCTCATGCGTTTTTCCTCTTCGCGAGCAACGATTCTTTCTCGCCTCGCGGGATTATTTATAGAAAGGTGACGGGAGTGCGCGCGGCGCGGCGCGGCGGTCTCGTTGCTCCTCTCGTATGAAGCGAAAAGCCGCGGAACGAGCGGCTCGCGCGAATACGAGCGGAACGGGCGCGTGTATTCGCAAAGTCATCGTGCTCGTCAACGCGAATCTCCTATATATAGAAGACAAGTGTTCCCTGCACCCGATATGTATCTTTCGAATCGATTCTTTCTATGTACCTCACATTCTAACAATGTAGTTCGCAATACGGGATGCATATGGTGTAATCAACTCACGAAATATTTGCTCTACTTTAATACACATGTATAATCGCCTCAACTATGTATAAAATAACTCGAAATATTCCACAAGCGGACTATTATTATCAGAGCTCGCGAGACCGATCCTTTCATTCACCGCATGATTGACATTAATTACCGGAACACAATCGGCGGCTTATCTGATCCCAACTTGATTCCCGATGGCGAGATACCGCGCAAAGTTCGCCAGGACGCGTGAAGTGAGATAGGGTCGGAAGACGCTCAAAGGGAAAACCCCTCTCCGCGGCGCGGCGGTCATCACCGCGAGGCGAGTAGAGCGGTCGGCCGGCCGACCGGACGGCCGCGGAACCCCGTCGAAGACGCCGGGAGAATCCGTGGCGAAGCGGGAGAGTACATACACGCAACGGAGTTTCTTCTCCCGCGGGAAGGCGTGGTCGGTAGACGCGCGACGTCCATTTGTCTCGGGCGCCTCCCGCACCAGGAACGCCCTCGCATCCCACGGGCATCGATCACGTCTTCCTCTTACCGGGCGCATCGCGCCGCGCCTCTGTCCCTCTTTCTCTCTCCCTATCTTCATCTCTCTCTCTCTCTCTCTCCCTCTCTCTCTCTCTGTACACTTTACGCGCACATACTCGCCTACACGTACACCCTCGCACGACGACGCGCGCGAGCCACCCCTCGCCGGTCCCCGATGGCACCGGCGTTGCCAACTTTTCAAAATGGAATTCTGGCACAACAGGAGCAAAATTATAATATTTCAGAGGATGCATTACGGGGTACGGCGAAAAACGAGGAAAACGACTGTTTAAATTCGAAACTTACGGCGAAGTTGATGCGTGCAGAGTACGATACCCATTCTATATATATGACACACACAAGTTGATCCCTATAGGCATTAAATAGTTTAGCCAGAAAAGCGGATTTATCTGATTCCGGGCGGATCTTTAGTTGTAAGTAGGTATTAGTCTGAAGAGCTATCGGTATACTATCGGAACCTTCGGATCCACTCCGCCAACTAGGTCGCTTTTGTTCCGCTCGCGCTCGGGGTTTCCTCGTATTCTCATCATCAAAGTCTCTCTCTTACAAAAATCCGGTTTCCCAGGCAGTAATAAAGTTATTCCGGTATAATAATACGCGCATCATACCTCGATGAGGACGTATAGAAAGTTATGGGTTTATACAATGTGATTAAAAAACTTAACGGCGCACCGTTCCGGTCGATCACGACCGCGAGATCTCGATTGACCGGAACGGCGAGTTATTAAACGATCCTTTTGCATTGCCGCGATTTATAAGGAACGCGAGCCTCGAAGAATTTAGATTTTTTTAAATATTAACGAATTTTACTTAAAATGTTTGTAACATCACTGTAAAAAACGAGGAGTGATTCCTTTAATTTCTTCAGGGACATATTTTTGTTTTAATTCTAATAGTACTGACTAAAAGAAAAACGAACAGTATTTACCACAGTAATTTTTAATTCTTTTCGTTCTTTTATTCTTTGTTTAATTCCTATTTAAATCGAATAAAATATAATAAGACAAAAAATTAAATCTCTTTCTTCTAACTCTAAAAAAGTTTTCCTCTGAAGGGATTAAAAGTTAAATATCGAGTTAAATAAGACCTAGAATCGTTAATTCTTTTACGCTGCTCCGCTGTAGATTATCGGATTATCATTAGCGAGCTACAAGCTAATTGTCTTTTACGACCGATTGCTCCAAATTTTGTCCTTTTATTATTTTGTTTCAGCCGGTAAGTGTGCACGATGCTTCCTTCGCCGAGGCGAGCGATCGTCAAGCGTTGATCACTGGATGGCTGTCTGGTTACGCGCATGGAAACTTTCAAGTAAGCACTATTGGCTATCGTTACCGCAGGTACATATTATGTCGTAAAGAAATTCGAGAGAGAAGCCGGAGTCTGATGATCTTCTAAAGCCGCTAATTCGCCGGTTGCGCGAAAATCCCTCATTTTACGCACATAGCTGTGTGTACGGTTTTCAATCTCGCGCATTTCATAGTTTCGATCTCGTTAATACGAGAACGCCATAAGATCGTAATATCGCTCGCTTTCAATTTCGCAGAATGCAAATATTCACGCGCACGGAAATATATCAGACCGTGAATATTCATGTTGAGCGAAAGGATACGGTACACTTCGTTCATTAGCAAAATCCGTCATCCTCGATGCGTTTGAAGAAAGTACTGAAAGTATATAGGTACACGAATTTCCGTTATCAAGGGATCGCGACGTTTCCGGTTTTGTCTCGGTTGCAGGTGCGCTATCGCTCCGAGCGGATTCTGCGAGAGCGGAACAATCCTGACGATTCGTGAAGGATTATTTCAGGTTTAGAAATATATTTACATTTTCCCAGGATCGTAATTAAAAATATGTAAACGCAAAGTCGAAAGATATATCTAGCGGAGTTTCCATCCACTTCGCGATCGGCGAGATTCCGGAATGGAATGATCGACGCTATCGCAGTCCCTTAATTTTTTGGCAAGCGGGTGATGGTAATTAACGGGTGCGCCGTAACGCATGCCTACACACACGCGTAAAATGTATATGCGTCGGCGTCTTCTCCTCTCTTTCCCGTTGCACGCGCGCGAAATGCATACCGGTAACGCGCCGGCGAGGTGTTGCATATGCATGCGTCGATCGATATGAATGCATCGTTGCATGCTAAACGGCTGCGGGCCTATCTGATCTGCCATTTTTCTTTCGGCCGCGAAAGGCATCCGCGCGGCCGCGGCTGCGGCGCCCGCCGATGCGGAAACTCATCGTGTGAATTCCCGATTATCACCCGGTCCGCCGCTTATTACCCTCTTACCGTAACAATGTGCCGGATCATGTTTGGCTTTTTACCAATTCTGGCTCCTGTAAAACTCTCGCACTTCATGCGATAAATCACGTTTGGACTGAAGAATAGTGGATATCAACAATCGTTCCCCGCTCAAAATGCGTCCGTATCGCTGTGTTAAACGGACTTAGACGTTGAGCAGGTCTATTCA